TGGCAGAGTGGTGACAGCGGGGACAACAGACACCAGAGTGTGTTTCTTGCTCCAAACTTACAATTCTTTTTGTTTAATTCATGGCATGCTATGGTGCAGGTGTGCTGGACACCTTAAGGACTCAGTTCTCTACTCCCACCATATGAGTACTGGATTATAACCACTGAGTCATCTCATCAGACAGCAAGTCTTATGAATCTGGGTTTCCTTACTTGTAAAATGGGGTAAGTATTCAAACAGTGCCTGCTACATATTAAACAGCTAATAATATCAGCTACTGTGATGGAAAGGACTAATTAAAGAAAGATATTGAGTCTTCCTAGTGCAACAGATCATTCAGACTTCCTTTGCTCAGTAATTACTCCCTGCCTACTCATTAGAATCACCTATGTGCAATTCCCAGGCTTCTAATACATAATGCTGGATGGGGCATTTTGAAGACTTTAAGGGTGTTTGTGCATTGAGAGTCTTATGATACAGCTCACATATGAGCTTCCGCCTCACACACTCTCTAGAGGGCTGGGATTGTGAGCACGCACCCCGTGCCTGGCTCTTCTCAAGGACACTGAAGATCAAGAACGAAGCCTCCAGAACTTTGCTGAAGGAATTCCATCTTTTACTATGCACAGAAAGGATCCTAAGCAAACAAACAAACAAACACACAAACACAATGATAATGTACCTGTACACTCTGATAGGAGGCACCATCTGTTTCCATTAAGGAGACACAATGTCTTTGTGTTAATAAAACAAGAAAGTTTGAATCAACTATTAAAATACTAGATGATTCCTATTTCAATTCTGACAGCATTACTACTTCTCAGAACTTCAGGTTTATCTTACCATCCAGTAAAGCATTTATTTTATGGGAAATATGAGAGTGCATTAGCTCTTTTAGGTGGTCGGCTGTGTCAAGATGAAGCTGGGTATCTGCTCTCCAGCCACCAGCTGTCAGACACTAACTGAAATAGACTATGAACACAAACTGTACATTCTATGAGAAGTTCACGGCCACAGAAGCAGCTGCTGATGCTCCGAGTGAAGGATGGAAAGGATCTGTGGTCTAAATCAGGGGTGGGAACAACAACACAAGTTTTCCAGGAAACAAGGTATCCTGACCCCAGCCAAGTGTGCACCTGCCCTTGAGCTGAACGTTCTTGTTACAGACAAAGGAGAACTGGAAAGGGCAAGTTCAAGTCTGTCTGTGGATGCCACCCTGAGTGTTCTCAACTTGGTTATTTTGTTAAAAAAGGGGAGAAGGATTACTCCTGGACCGACAGATACTGTGTCTCAGTGGTTGGAGCCCAAAAGAGCTAGTAGGATCTGGAAGCTTTTCACTCTCTCTAAAGAAGATGATGCCTGACAATATATTGCCAGAGTCCTTAAACAAAAAAGGTCGAGGACTACAGCACCCAAGATTCAGCACGGGAATCTTTTCCATGTGTCCTGCACCAGAAACACCAAGGTGCTGCTCTGAAGAAGCAACACACTAAGAAAAACAAGGAGGAAGCTGCAGAACGTACTAAACTTACGACCAAGAGAATAAAATTAAAGAAAAATGCCAGGAACAGGTGGCCAAAAGACGTAGGCTGTCCTTGTTGAGAGCTGCTACTTAGAAGTCAGAGTCCAGTCAAGAATGAGTGTTTAAGAGGAACAAATGATCACACCTTAAATCTGAGACAGGGAGTGGATGACACCTGCATGACCCAACAACACCCGAGCATCTCTCTCTTCCCCCAGCGGCACCTTTAAGGACCCTTTTACTTCTGTTATTCCCAGACAAAATCTCCAAGACTAAAGAGCCATCTTCCAAAGGATGGGGATGAAGTTCAGTTGTTGGCAGAGTACTTATCATGCACAAAGCCCTGGGTTCAATCCACAGCACCGTAAAAAGTCAGGCATGGAGAACATACGTAGGTCCAGCACTCAGAAGACAGAGGCAGGAGGATCAGAAATTCAAGTTCATTCTCAGCTACACAGTGAGTGTGAGGACAGCACAGGTTACATAAGATGCTGTCAAAACAACAACAACACGTTTGCAGACAGACTTAGTTACCTTTTTAGAGCCCCGCTGAATACTGCAGTTCTTGCAGGACACGTTCTTGCTGTCCCAGTGGTCGGCAGCCCCACACGTGAGGCAGAGGTCAGGGTCACACTCGCGCACCGCCAGGTAGCACGGGCACTGCTTGGTGTTGCACTGTGCCTTGCACCGGCACCCAGGAAACCGGTTTTGACCTTCGGGGATAAGTTTCATCACCGTCACCATCACACCTAGCAATCATCATGCTATCACAACCCTGCACAGGAATGCAGCCAGTGTCTTGCTGAGCACATGAACGGCATTTAAATCCTCACCACCTTTCCCTTACTATTCCACCGTAGAGACGAGCAAACAGGAACAGCACACATGAAGCTGCTAGACTGAGAAAGAGCTGGTTTGTTGTCTATTTCACACTTGTTCAATGGCATATGGACTTAAGTTCTACGATAAATTAACCAGGGGAAGGAAGGTCTCGGAATGAACGGTACTCATGGCCCTGGACCAGGCCAGTAAGCCGGCAGTTCTCAACCTGTGGGTCGAAACCCCTTCGGCAAACTCTCATCTCCATGAATATTTACATTATGGTTTATAACAGTAGCAAAATTACAGTTATGAAATAGCAACGAAAATAATTTTATGGCTGGGGGGTCACCACAACATGAGGGACTGTATTAAAAGGTCACAGCGTCAGGAAGGCTGAGAACCGCTGCAATAAGCCGTATTTATTTCTCGTCCATCCCCTGGTATCCAAACTCTCTGTACAGCTTCGTTAAGTCATTCTAAAGACCTACTGCCCTTTACTCTGAGCACTGGACCCCTCTTAGCTCTCTCCTCCGGTGCCCACAGAAGGCTTGGGCACACTCTCCTTACAGTCTATGCCACTTTACTGTAATTCAAATGACCGAAGAAAAACAGACAAATCCAATCCATTACTACAACTCTGCCTGGCTTGTGTGTACACGCACACACATTGCCCAAGAGGCTGACAGGACATCAGCACATAAACGCTCACTGACTAATTGGGACTAAGCAGCTTTCCTAAAGCCAGCCATCAGAGCATCCCAGTCCCTATGTCTTCATTTAAATCACCATTTTCAGCTGCTGACCAAAGGCCTATTCAATTCTCATGCAATTGCACCAAAGCAACAAATACTTACACTCTGAACTACATTGACAAAACTTTTCACAAAAATTTTGTGCTATCACACAAGGGCACGAACTGTCACAAGGCTGTCGTGGATGGTCACAGGGTTGATAGTTGTAAACATGGTTAGAGGAGCCGTCTGAGTAAAGATAACAGCACGCAGCCAATGAATCCAGGGAGATGGGAAATGATCATCACAATTAACAAGACATTCTTCCCCACTACCTCTGGAACGTCCTTTACTGGCTGTCTTTACTGAAATACACACTCCTGTGGGAAAAAAATCGCCTCCCACCCCCAAGTGCTTAAAACCTTGGTTTCACATTTCAGCCCCCCTGCCACAGTGTTGCTTCACCGCCTCTCACTAACTCACTCCATCCGACTCATTTCACTTTCTGAACAGCAATAACTGGAGAGCAACAGACACATTTCATTTAAATTGATTTGCTAAGTAGAAGTCAATTAAATCAGAATAACCAAAACTTCAATCCAGTTTCTACTCTAAAACAAATGAAGACAAAAGAAGTTTTAGCTAATAATGGGGGTAAGTGGGGAGATGCTGACCCTTTTTCAGCTGTATCTTTCTGCAGTGCGCCGCCCACAACCTGCAAAAAAAGAAAAACAAACTTGAGTGTGAAGGTGTAAGGCCGACGGGCTGCCAATCCCCAGCCCTGGTTAAGTGGGCCTGTCTGTGCGATTAGCGCCGAGTGCTGAAAGGCACGGGGAGCCTTACACTACCTGTCAGCTCGCACTGACCTGGAACATGCTCACTCAGGTGGCGGTGCCATGCCCAGAAGTCTGCAAGAAAGTACCTGTCCACATTGCCTGGTTAAGACTAAGGAGGCCTTGTGTATATCCACCGATTCAGTCTTGTCTGCATTATATGGACACTGATACTCCCTATAACTGCAGGCATCATTAACCACCCAATTGAACTGCATGGCAAGAAACTGTTCAACCAAAAATTCAGAAGCATCTATGAAAGTCTAAATTCATGTTCCCATGGGGAAATTTCTGTAAAGTTTTACAGGATTTACAATAGCAATGCAACACATACACTATGGGCCTCTACTGAATTTTTGAAGCATAATTTAACAGCCTCCTTACCTACTCAACTACACTTTTCATTTTAAAAAACAGCAGGTTAGGGATGGCGGGATCCAATCATGGTTTCCCTGGCTCTACATTTACAAAAGCATTCTGTACACTTATTCACTGTAAGCCTTCGTGAGAGGTAAGAGCCACAGACTTAGATGAGGCTCACTTTAAATATCAGAAAGCAATGGCACACACTTAGAAACTCCAGGCTCCTAGAATAAAAGACACTTCTAAACAGTGGCCCAGAGAGCACAGGAGGAACACGTCTTACAACATTCCATAACAAATAGTAAAGGAACTGTTTATGTAGTCTGTACTGCAGTATGTTTTTCTCAACCAAAATCCAATGGATGTGGTAACCAAAATGTGTATGACTTGATATCCTGAAGTGACTGCCCACAAGGGTAACGCAGCCATCAGGGAGGAGGAGGTCTCCGTGGGTCTGCATCTGACAGCGGTTTAAAAGCTTTCTTATAATCATCAAGTGAAAACTGACTCCTGCTCGTGGGAGACGCCCTGGCCCACACGGCAGCGGCTCCTCAGCAGGCTTACCGGTGTTTCCTTTTCTTCTTTCTTGGGGGAGTGTCCACATCCTCAGTGGGGACAGGTGCTATGACACTGGACTCTTTGACTCTGAACTCGTACACCTAGGTGAGAGGCAGAGGATCATGAACAGCCACCGCACGCTTTTGCATACTGGGGAAAGGTCTGTTTCTCTGGTGACAGTGCCAGGCATGTAGGGTACAGGCAAGACACAGGAGAAATCACTGCTGTCCCATCATCACATTGGGAGCACGGCTAAATGTAAGAGTCTGGCAAAATTTCAATTCTATGTATTTAAAGCTACCATACCCAAACTGAATTCTACACTAGGGAAACTCTGAAACACAGCTAAAGAACACTACTGATTTAATTTCTTAAGGGAGGGAGAGAAATTCCCTTCAGAAGACGAACAGAATGAAATCAAACGGCTCCAAGTCTGGACAATGAGCCCCTATTAGCCTGTGTTTAAATCTCTTGGAATGCATATGCTGTGGGATGTTAATGTATGCCCTGTGGGAGCCCTTCTTGGGTTCCTTGTGGCGTTACCCAGCAGGTTTGCATAGAGGATGATTAGGACCA